AATGGATTTGCTGGGCCATAGGACAAGCCAATTTCCATCTTTCCTAGGTCATGCCAAACTACTTCTCCAGTGGTTCTTCCTCTTTTTAACTCACATCGGCAGTGTAGAGTTCCCATTAATCCATATCCTTATTGACGGAATTCTTTTTTTTTCCCAATCTGATTAATCAGTGATGTTATCTTATTGAAGCTCTAATTTATATTTCTTTCATACTAACATGGTTGAGCACCTTTGAATTTGTCTCATTTGGATATCCTCATTTGTTCAAGTGTATCGACCATTTTCTATCTGGTTTTCTTTTTGTTCTTGAATTATAGGAATGCTGTACGTATTTGGGATCTAAGTCTTTTCTTGGTCTTATGTATTGCAAATATGTTTGTCTATTGCGTGGCTTGTCTTTTCACACTCCTTGTTGTGTATCTCGATAAACTGAAGTACACATTTTAAATGTAGTGGAATCCATGTGTAGGGGAGGCAAAACTTTACCCTCTTAGGTTTTCTGGCTGGGACTGAGAATTAAATTAGCATAAACAAATTAACAAGAGAAAGACATACAGACTTTTACATGGGCATGGGAGCCCACCCACCGCCCGCCCCAGGAAAGTGAAGACCCAAAGAAGCAGTTAGAGCCAAATCCATATGTACTAAGTTGGACAAAGAGTAATGAATTGTGAAAATGTATCAAGACAAAGGGGCTTGAGCCAGAGAAGTGAATAGGAAAATAAGGGTCAGTTTAACAAGATTTCATTGTATAGATAGATTTCCTTTGTCCTTGATTCCTGTCTCTGGTGATAAGAATGTTTCTTTGTTTCCTCCTGGTAAGCAGAGGAAATCTTTCATGTTTTTCAAGTACCAATCACTGCCCTGGGCACTTTAACCATGAGTTGTTGTTTTTAAAAGATTTTATTTATTTATTTATTTTTTAAAGATTTTATTTTTATTTATTTTTAGAGAGGGAGGGGAGGGAGATAGAGAGAGAGAAATATCAATGTGCGGTTGCTGGGGGTCATGGCCTGCAACCCAGGCATGTGCCCTGACTGGGAATCGAACCTGCAACACTTTGGTTCACAGCCCGCGCTCAATCCACTGAGCTATGCCAGCCAGGGCTATTTATTTATTTTTTAAAATTTTATTTATTTTTAGTTTTATAGAGAGGGGAAGGGAAGGAGAGAAGGAGAGAAACATCGATGTGTGGCTGTGTCTCACACTTCCCCTACTGGGGATCTGGCCCACAACCTGGGCATGTGCCCAGGCTGGGAATTGAACCAGCAACCTTTTGGTTTGCAGGCCCACTCTCAATCCACTGAGCTACACCAGCCAGGGCAGATTTTATTTACTTTTAGAGAGGGGAAGGGAGGGAAAAAGAGAGGGAGAGAAACATGAATGTGTGGTTGCTTCTCACATACCCCCTACTGAGGGCCAAAAACCAGGCATGTGCCCTGGCTGGGAATCGAACCTGTGATGCTTGGGTTCGCAGCCCACACTCAATCCATTGAGCTACACCAGCCAAGGTACAATACAGGTTTGAATGCAAGGGTCCACTTATATGAGGATTTTTTTCCCCCACAAATGCCCGTACTATTTTCAACCTACAGTTGGAAGTTTGCAGATCTATGCCATTTTATATATGGGGCTTGAGCATCCTCAGATATGCTGGGGTCCCAGAACCAACCTTCCATGGATACCAAGGGTATTTAAGGTTGGGGAGAGTGAAGTTATATGTGCAGTTTTGGACTGTGGGGGGACAGGGGTTGGTGCTCCTAACTTCCGCATTGTTTAAGGGTGAAGTATACTACCTTAGCACTAGCATTTAACAATTATTATTATGATGATTATTATTTTAAGAGTTTATTTATTTTTAGACAGAGCGGAAGGGTGGGAGAAAGGGAGAGAAACATCAATGTGTGGTTGTATCTTGTGCACCCCCTTCTGAGGAGCTGGCCTGCAATGCAGGCATGTGCCCTGACTGGGAATCGAACCAGCAAGCCTTTTGTTCGCAGGCTCATGCTCAGTCCACTGAGCTACACCAGCCAGGGCGCATTTAAAAATTATTACTACTTAAAATTATTTTTCAGTCTATCTTCCTGTTTGTTTTTTTACCCTGAGCTTCTAGCATTGTACTTCACAAACGGCACTGGATGCTTTAAAAAAATATGTGTTGAACTGAACTGACAAATCTTAACTCTGCTGGACTTGTAAATTGAGTTTATTCGATATCTCAAAGGTGCAGCTAAGTGGTATAATATGAAAAAACAAGGTGGATGAATTAACTGGTGGAAAAAGTCACAGAACACTTACAGTTTCTGTGCAGGCAAATCATACCCAACTGGTGTACTAGAGTTCTGTGCAGACAGACAAAAGGACAAGGTGTAACCAGCAGACTTCATTCAGCTTTTCAAAAAGCCTTTGGTAGATTTCCACATCAAAGACTTTTAGAAAAATGATGTTACCCTGGAATTACTTAGAACACTATCATTGTCGGTGTTGTTTTAATTTTGTTCTTAAAGTTGTTTCTAGGTAACAGAACCGAAGTCAAGCAATGAAGGTTAGGGATAGTGAGATTGTGTAACTAGTGGAGACTGATCTTACTTAACTTTTAATAAATTATCAAGAGGTAGTATGGAGAATGGGATTTTTAGTTTCCAAATAACAGGTCTTTCAGCTAATGCAATATTTAGCTGATGAGGACAAAGGCAAAGTAATGGAAAATAATGGTATGTGGCTTTAATTTAGATAAGATTCAATTATGCATTTAAGGGCAGTGTAATAACATAGAGGAATAGGAGGTGGGCATCTAGATCCAATTCTTTGCTCCAAATAGATGGGCCAATTTCCCTTGTACTTTCTCACTCTGAAACTGAAAAATTCAGTGTTTGTGCTGCCTGTCTCTACCGTAACCAATAAACAGAAACAGGGATTGAATATTTATGGATGCTTTATTCAGATGGCCAGCAATCTGAGAAGATGATGGGTTTGTACTCTAACATACTGTCTTACATTTCTTTTCAAGCCAGTTTTTTTTTTAAATTTACTTATTTTTAGACAGGGGGGTAGGAAAAGAGGGGGAAACATCAATGTGTGGTTGCCTCCTGCGTACACCCCCGCACTGGGGACCTGGCCCGCAACCCAGGCATATGCCCTGACTGGACATCAAACCAGTGACCCTTTGGTTTGCAGGCCAGAGCTCAATCCACTGAGCCACACCAGCCAGGGCATCAAACTAGCCTCTCTTATATGGAGGAAAAGTGTAGTAAAAGATTTGGAAGTCAGGAAAGAGGTTAATCAGATAAAAGCTGCAGTCTGGCAGTTTCCCTAACATCCTTTTATCTGTTTGGGCCCTGTGTCCTGGAGCACAATGACTCAGATACCATCTGGATTGCTTATGGTCTCTTCTAGAGCACAAAGGTCGGATTGCTTATGGTCTCCTGCAGTTAGAGTGGGCTGTACCTGCAATTCCTGAAATAATAGCTTTTTATGTGCACTAACTACTAGGCTTATTAACTATTACTTAAAATTAAAATTTTCTAACTCTTTGAGTTCTCCTATCAACTTTTCCATGCATTCTTGTCTGTTGTCCACATCTGTGGACTCAGTTGGAGAGAACCTTATCAGCTAGAGGGGATTTTTTTTTTCAGACAAGGGAATACTAAAGTCTCTGCTCATAATCTCCAAATTTTCAAGGATTGTTGTAGGGGGAAATGTATGGGTAAAAGGGAAAAAAATGAGTACAAATTGGAAAGAGGTATCTTCCCTAGGAAGTAAAGAGAAGATGATGAATGAGCACGAGAAAGATATAACAAATCTGAAAAAAGTATAGAGAAAAGCAACAATCATATTCAAAGAGATAAAGTCTTTCCACTGAAGGATGTCAAAATAGTTAAATCCTCCAAATAGATAAGAAATGTATTAAAAATGCGGGACCCAGAGATGGTTAAAAACACAGCACAAAATTTCAAATTGCTCTTATCCTTTGAAGTTTAGAGGTGGTCTGAGAACAACTAAAATACTGGGTGTGACTTAAAAAACTTGTTTCTCAAAGGGTGAGTAAAATTGAAAACGTAAACACTTTTAAAAAAGGGTTTTTAATAAATTCCCAGAGGCCAAATACATCTTGTATTGCTAACGCCCATTGAAGAACTCTGAGCAGTAACGGCCTCGTGACCAAGGTCAGAACGTCTGCGTTCTAGTCTCGGTTTGCCTGCTTGTTAATGCTACGCGTATGCCCCTGGGCAAAGGACTGGGTATTTCGAAGCCTGTGCCGACTACGGCTAAGGGTAGTTTTGATGTTCAAACGAAGCCTTGTATTTACCGGCGTTTTGAGAACTCTAAGAAGCTCAGCTCTATAAGTATGTTTTTGTTATTGCATCGCTGAAGTTTTCGCAAACTTCCAAACAAGAGGTGTCTAGGTTAGAGCAATTTGGCTCTTCCACTGGCCACTGTGGGCTCTCGTCAACTCTTGTCCTCCCCGCTTTATGAGGTTGTCTTGTTAAGAAAAATTTTTCAGTGTCTTCAAGATTTTGTTTAGCAAGGTGGTGCCTGTGAAAGTGCTTAAGATAAACTGCCAAACACCAAGTTTGTCCGAAAGGACTTAGCGGAAGCACAGTCCCGTCTTCAAGGTTGAGGCACTGTGCGCGATCCATCAGGATGCCGGCAGCCCAATGGTAACACCAATTGGTTGAACCAGTGGTCCGGGAACGTAGTTATTATAATCCCATTCTGATATGATGTGTCACCATTTCAGGGAACAAGCAGGATGGTACAATGAACTTTAAACTCAGAGCGCCCAGAGCCCCAGTCCCGGGGTGGAGGGGGAATAATGCGCGCGCGCTCGGCTGTTACGGCTCCCGGTGCCGCGAGCGCGCCTTCCCGGCCGCCGGTGCACGCGCCGCCGCTGGCCCACGTGATTCCGGGCGCGTCGACGGCGGGAGAGGGCGGGTGGTCGGGCCAGCTCTGCAGCGCTGCGCAGGCGCCCAGGGGCCGCACCGACCTGAGCCCCGCCCGCTCCCTCTAGGAGTTAAAATGGCGGCGAGGGGAACCTGGAGTAGTCCCGGAGCCTGAGCCACTGACAGGAGTGGAGAGGGCGGTGGCGGCGACGGCGGCCGCAGGAGGAGGAGGATGGCGGGGGGTGCCGGCGCCCTTGCGGACGGCGGTGCTGGCGGTGGCAGCGGCGGGGGCGACAGCCGGGGTCCCAGCGGCAGCAGCAGCGGCAGCAGCGGCGGCAGGAGGAGCCTCCAGGGTGAGTGTCCCTCGGTGTCTCCGACACTGTGAGCCGAGGCTGTGCCCGGCGCGGGGCGTCCCGGAGAGGAAGGGGCTGTGCTTGGACGGAGAGGCGCCCGTTCTGGGGCCGGGCCACCGCAGAAGGCGCCGGGCGGCCGGCGGGGCAGGGACAGTCGTCCGTCCGGGTGTGGGGCGACGACGGCGTCGGCGGACTGGCCGGTCCCCGTGCGCTCTGAGGGCGGGCTTGGCTGTTCGCCGCTGTCCCGGGGGCAGAGGCTCGAGGCGTGGCGCTCGGGGCTGGGAGAGCAGCCCTAGGTGGCCGTGGCGGCTGCCCGGCGGGCTCCCAGCTCCAGGCTCTGGGCTCCGAGGGGCGGGACCCGCCGCTCCCAGGACGCCGGGACTCCGCTGCCGAGAGTCGGGCGCCGTTTCCCCGGCTGCGGGGCTGCGGGGCTGCGGGGCTGCGACCGCCCCGGGGTGGACGTGGGAGCGACGCGCCGGAATTGAAGAGGGAGCAGGCCAGGGACGCCGCGCCGGGGGAGAAGTTGGATGGCGCGGGTAAGTTTCTGTCTCGGGAGGGATCGGAGTGGCACTGCGCTTTGACAGGTTGGAAGGGAAACAATACCGAGTGTTTGATAAAGGAGTCTGTGCTTGGAGTACTTGAATGGCCCCAAAGCGTGCTTTTTCCTGTGTGATCATTTGCACAACTGTTTACTGCCCTTACCCAGGGCATGAGAACTTTCTCACCGTTGTTGTTGTGTGCGTGTGTGTTTCTCTTCGAGAACCTGTGAGTGTTGCTTCTCTGCTTTGAACTACAGCAACGCGTCCGCACACCCCAGCACAGATAAGAAGTGCTCTGGGTTAGGCCTAATTTACAGCAGCGGTCTTGGGTGTCTTCACTGGGGCACTGTTCCCTCTGCGAATACGCCTTGCTGCAACGAGGACAGAGGCATTTTCACAGGATTGCTTAGTGTTTTCAGCTCACAAAATCTTTTGTCGTTGACTAGCATTCATTTCTTTGAGGTTGCTGAAATGAATTACTTTCTTCAGGGAACGTGGAAGAAAGAGGCGAAGTTGTAAGAATCATGCCTGTGAATGGCAGCTGTGGTTGAACTTGTCTTGGATTTTGGAGTCGGAAAAACCTTTAGGGATGCGGTGGGACTTGCTTTAGAGCTGGGAAACTAGGCACAGGGCGGTAAGTGACTTAACTGCGGGCCCTGCAGCTGGTCAGGGATGGGACCCAGACGGGGCCTCGGTTTCGGGAGCCCTTCCCCGCTCTCCTGATTCTTTCTTTCTCATGGATCGCATCCTGAGCGGGGATACCCTCCCTGGGGCTTTGTGTAGTCAAGTTGAAGAACCTTGCTCGGGTTCTGACAGCTGCCATCAGTTACCATAAGTAACTGATGATTTTTTTTTCCCTAACCTGAATTTCATAAAAACTGACACTTAAAGTTTTCACAGGCCTGGGACTACATTTTTGCCGGATTACAGCATGCGTGGCTTATTCTTCCATGCATTCAGTAAAACTCAAAAGGTCAACATTCTGCCCCACAACCTAACTACTGTGGATTATGCTGTGTCCCAACACCAGCTTTTAAACAAGTTTTTTTTTTTGCGCATCAGATTCTAATTTTAGGGTTCAAAACACCTGTTTTGTGTTTGCCGAGTTATCACACCTAGTTTCCATGTGTCTTGTTGAGTCATAGCAATTTTCTTTCTTGTGTCACAGGTTAACCTTTAGAAATACAATAACCTGAATGATTCTGATTTCACAATCTAGTCAGTGCAACGCACGCGTCCCAAGTTGTACCTTGTGTTCAGTTAAACAGGTGGTCTGCGCTGTGTTCTGCGTCATACTGCAGGAAAAAGGAACAGAGTGGACCCAGTGGAATGTATAGACTTTACCCTCAGGAAATAAGATGTACCCGCTTGAGTCTAGAAGACAACCCAGTAAGTTCTACCAGTGCAAAGAATGCTGTGGGTGTTCTGGTTAGAGGGAGATAAATGAGGCCTCCGGAGTCTAAAGAGCTTCCTGGAATGCTTGGGACTGGAGCTAGCCTTTGAGGGTTTAGATTTACAGCGAGATTGGAGCAGTCGCTTGGTGAGGTAAAAGCCAGAGTAGAAGGTGCAGATTCGCTTTGGGGGAGGGGTATGGAGGGGGAAGTAGGATGAGCTGGCTACTCAATTTTGGGGACACCAAAAGGAAAACATTAGATATTTGGAAGATACGTGTTTGCATAAGAGATTGAGTACTGGATTCAGGAGATTTAGATTTTTTTAATTGAATGTATTAGGGTGATACTGGGTAATAAAACTATGTAGGTTTAAGGTGTGCAGTCCTATAACACATCATCTGTATATTGTATTGTGCGTTCACCACCCCAAGTCAGGTCTCCTTCCATCCCCATTTATCCCCTTTTACCCTCTTCTGCCTCCCCACCCCCTCCCTCTGGTCAGCACCATGCTGTTGTCTGTCTGGGGTGGTTTTTTGTCCGTTTCCCCTAATCCCTTTACCTTTTTCACCCAGCCCTCCTACCCCCTCCCCTGTGACACCTTCGAGTCTGTTTCCCTTTTGTTAGTTTATTTTGTTCATTAGATTCTACGTATAAGTGAAGTCTCATGGCATTTGTCTTTCTTTGACTGGCTTATTTCTTTAGATTTAGATTTTGGTCCTCTTTGCGAGATACAGGGAGCCTTTGAAAGTTTGGAGGCCAGACGTTAATTAGTGTGGTAAACTAGCAAGATGGACCTGTCAGTTATCTGCAGACTGAGTCAGAAGGAGAAGAAGCTGAGATGAAAGAACAAGGGCGGACAGTAGCTGTAACTGCCGCCTGGGTATGAAGAGATGAGATCTTGGGCTAGGGTAGAGTCAATAGGAAGGAGACGGAGCAGGTGCTGTTTTTACTTTCATTGTAATAAATACAACACAAAATTCCATTTTAACCTGTTTTAAGTCTGTAGTTCTGCAGCACTAAGACTGTTATAGAACATCACCGCCACCCATCTCCAGAACTCTCATCATCTTCTCCAGCAGAAACTCCGTAGCCATTAAACACTGACTCACCATTTCCCTTTACCCACAGCCCCTGACAACCACCATGCTACTCTCTGCCTCTGAATTAAACTACTCTGGGAACCCCATATAAGTGGAATCATACAATGTTTATCCTTAGGTGACTGGCTTATGTCACTTAACATAATATCTTCAAGGTCCATCTGTCTTGTAGCATTTGTCAGAATCACCTTCATTTTTAAGGCTGAATAGTATTCCACACTATGTATATACTGCATTTTGTTCACATGTTGATCTGCCAATGGATGCTTGGTTTGCTTCCGTTTTGGGCTGTTGTGAATAGTGTTGCTTTGAGCCAGGGAGTACAGATATCTGAGTATGTGCTTTCATTTCTTTTAGGCACACACCCATAAAATTCTACATTCCCACCAGCCCTGTATAAGGGTTCCAATTTTTACACATCCTCAACACTTAATTTATGTTTATAATAGTCATCCTAATGGGTATGAGGTGGCATCTCAGTGTGTGTGTGTGTGTGTTTAATTGACTTTAGAGAACAAGAGAGGAAAAAAACCTTTGATTTGTTCTTCCACTTATTTATGCACTCATTGGTTGATTCTTGTATTTGCCCTGACCTAGGATTGAACCTGCAACCCTGACATATCGGAAGGATACTCTAACCAGCTGAGCTACTGCCCAGAACCCACTGTGGTTGTGACGTGCATTTCACTGATGATTAGTGATGGTCACATCTCTTATGCTCATCAGCTGTTTGTATATCTTCTTTGAAGAAATACCTGTGTAAATTATTGAAGTCAAGTTGTTTTGTTGTTGGTAGTCCTGGATATCAGTCCCTTATCAGATACGTGATTTTCAGATAGTTTCTGCCATTCTGTGCACTGCCTTTTCACTCTGTTGAGTGTCCTTTGATGCACAAAAGTTTTTAATTTTATTGAAGTCTAACTTTCCAAACTTCTTCACTGTAAAGAGAAATAGGCAAGTGAGTTTTTAAAAAAGAGATATCTTTTTAAGAAATGAGGTAACATTTTTCTTTTTAAGTTGATGCCAGCAAAAAGTTATCAGAATCCAAAATTTCGAAGAGGCATAGTTTACTTTAGATTTATATAATGTAATTCAGACATCCAGTACCTATTAATATTTGCAAAACAAGTTAAAAATATTTAATAAGATCTGTGGTTTTTAATTTTTTTGACAGTCTGTAAAATTGACATTAAAAACCATTTTTCATAACATCCTTACTACCTTAAATAATACAGAAACTTAAAAAAACATATCAGGTAAAGTTTTATAACTGGCATTAAGTTCATTTAGTGAGCCTTACGTTAAGGTTGGGATAAATTGGAATCACCTTAATCCAGTACACACATCCTTTAAATCACAGTCTTCAAAAAAAGTCCCCTTTCATGAGCATTGTTGGGAGTATTTATAGTTGTAATAGAACACTAGACTGGGATTCAAACCTCCATTCATATTCTACTGTTTCTGTGAATTTAAGGAGGCCATTTAATCTGTGTGAGGCTTAATTTTCCTGATCTGTAGAACTAACTAAATAAATAAAACATGTATGTATTATGTATGTGTAAGCTGTGTCTTACATTGCAGCTTTGCCACCTTGTAAGTGTTCTATTCCTTTCTTCCCTGTTACCACTTCCTTCCTAGTCTGGACTGTTTATTGAACAGCCTTCCAACCAAGTCACTGCTAATTGTCTACTCTCCCTCTTTTTCTCTGGCTAGGCTCTATGTTGCTACCATACGTGACGTTTCTAAAAAAACAGATTGGAGTATGTTGCTTCCTTACTTAAACCTGTGTTAACTTTCTATTGTCTATAGGACAAAGTACAAACTCATGAGTACGAGATGGTGTCCAACCTTAGATTTCCCGTCACACCAGCTATACCAAGCTGCTAGTTGTTTTCTGTGTTTCTGTTTTTCATGTTTATCCCAGTGTTTATCATCCAAGAGACTGAGATGATTCATCACCCACCCCAGGGCTAGATTTTGATTACTCCAAGCCAGTCAGCTTAAGGCATTTCCCTGCAAACTGATACTTGTCCCAGTGAGATTGAAAGGAAGGAGACATTATGTTTCTGGGGAGAGGATTTTTCCCACGTGACCCCAATTGTTACCGGCATGATGAAGCATGCCCTAAGGATGGCAGATCAGCAAGGCCGAAGGAACTTGGGTCCATGACAACATTATTTTAGACATGTATTGAACTGTGCCTGGGGCTTTCCCTACCATGGAACATCTCATGACAGATAATTTTCTTATTGTTTAAGTCAATTCTTTGGAGTTACTTGCCATCAAAAAAATTCCTAATTAATACAGTCCTCCTTATTCTTCTAGACCCAATTCAAACACTACTTTTACCAGTAGTTATACACTCACTCCCTTGGTACTTTGGACCAGTCTTCCATCCCCATTGCACTGTATACTATAATCATTTGCTTATATGTCTGACTTCTCCACATAGCTTCGTGTACTTTGAGCCAAAGCCTACAGTATATAGCAGTGTCTGGTACATTATAGATGCTCCGTGAATGAGTCATTGGGATGAAATAATAACATGAAAAAGTGCTTTGTAAACAGTTTTTTAATAAACATAAGGTATGGTGTTGTCTTTACACTAAAGTCAGTTAGACCAGACATGTAAAGTGGTTTTTGCTTGTCCTTAAGTATTTTCTAAATGTATTCCCTTTGATCAAAAGTTTGACAGTCCCTTAAATGTTGTGAAAAAAATCTTACCTACTAAAGAGGAATCCTGGAAGGAGCAGTAAGTGAACTGTGTTGTTAACTGTGTAATTCCCACCCTCTCTTCCTTCCTTCCTTCTTTAGAAGGAGACTTGAATGAATGCCAGGACTAACTTCAAGTATAATTCAAGTATAATGTGTGCTTTTCTCCCCTATATTTTGAAATTATATTAAGCCTGTTTTATCTGGGATTTATTTGTGAATTGTTTTTTAGAGGAAAATTCCTTCATTTGCTTCATAAGATTTAAGTTATTCTTGTCTTCAGACTTTCCCAAAATATTTTTTGCTTGCTTGAGACTAGACATGAGAATTTTCTGGTAAGCAAAAAAACTTTGTGGCAAAACAAGATGGATGAGTTTGTGGCAAATGTTAGTAATAGTTTATGACAAAGATATCTCTTTTAAATCTTATTTACTAAGTCAGAGCTCCATCACATGCTTCAGCAATAAAGCCTGACAAAGGAAAGTTAAAATTCCCAATTCAAGAGATTGAAACCCATCACCTGTGGTAAAATTATGACTACCTAAAATTGTTTTTAAAATGTTTGATCGCTCTGGCCTGTGTGGCTCAGGTGGTTGGTGTGTCTTCCTGTAGACAGGAAAGGGCCTGGATTTGATTCCCAACAGGGCAAATTCCTAGGTTGCGGGTTCAATCCCCGGTCAGGGCATGTAAGGGAAGCAACCAATCAGTATTTCTCTCTCTCTCTGCCCCTCTTCCCCTCTCTCTCAAAGCGATGAAGAAGTGTCCTCAGGTGAGGAAATACATACACACATACATACATACTTACTTGCTGACCATCTTTAGAGGATGCTGGGAAGTTATTTGTTTTGAAAATCAGTAAACAAAAGTAAAGAATCATTCATTTATTCTGCCTTTTCTGTACAAACTGTACAACAAACAATTGAATAGTTGAGTTTCTCTTAGAGAAGTGTTCCAGCTAATGAATAAAGAAGAAATAATAGAATATCTCCATGTTACAACCCTTAATGAATTAATGACTCTAGTTGGTGATCGTTGATAATTGCTAATATCACAGACTGGGAAGTAGACATTTTGTACCTGTTGGGAGTGCACACCCCTACCTGTGAAGCAGTCTTGGCAAAATAAACTTTAAAAATGCAACAGTGATCCTGAATCTAATAAAGTCACTGGGTCTGATTATCAA